TGAAATCAAGGCACTACAAGACAATCATACATGGACCTTGGTTGATTTGCCCCCCGGGAAAACACCCATAGGGTGTAAATGGGTATATAAGGTAAAGCTCAAGGCGGATGGATCGGTGGAACGCTATAAGGCCAGATTGGTAGCCAAGGGCTACACTCAACAGTTGGGAATTGACTACATAGAAACTTTTTCCCCGGTTGCGAGAATGACCACCATTCGCACCTTCCTAGTTGTGGCATCCTCTCGAGCATGGCTTATTCATCAACTAGACATCAATAACGCTTTCCTCCATGGTGACTTAGTTGAGGAAGTTTACATGGTGCTTCCACCTGGCTTTCAAGGGGAGAAACAAGGGCAGGTTTGCAAGTTACTAAGATCACTCTATGGCCTTAAACAAGCCAGCCGACAGTGGAATGCTAAATTGAGTGCCGCCTTGATTAGCAATGGTTTCCAACAGTCCAAGTTTGATCCTTCTTTGTTCACTAGAGGACATGCCGCATCATTTATAGCAGTCCTTGTTTATGTAGATGACATCCTCGTCACAAGTCCTAGCTCACATCTCATTCAAGAACTTAAGACGTTTCTTGACAATACTTTTAAAATCAAGGACTTGGGAAGTTTGGGGTACTTTCTGGGTATTGAAGCACATATGACAGAAGATAGTTTGAACCTCTGCCAAAGGAAATACGCTTTAGACATAATTGAAGAGGCTGGTTTTCTTCACAGCAAACCGGTTGATACTCCCATGGTCCCTGGAACACGTCTAACCAAAGAAGGAGGTTCTCTTCTCAAAGATCCTTCTGGTTATAGACGTCTGATTGGCAGGTTGTTGTATCTCACAGCAACAAGGCCAGATATTTCATACGCAACTCAGCAGTTAAGTCAATTTGTCGACTCTCCAACTTCGGACCACTTGACTGCCGCCCACCGAGTCCTTCGTTATATTAAGAAAGCCCCTGGCCAGGGCTTGCTATACCCAAGAAATAATAAAATGGAGTTGAATGTTTTTTCAGATTCTGATTGGGCCTCATGTCCAGAAACTCGCAAATCCATTACGGGTTTCTGTATCTTTATAGGCTCTGCCCTTGTTTCGTGGAAATCAAAGAAACAAGCCACTGTCTCCCGTTCGTCATCAGAAGCAGAGTATTGGGCCTTGGCTGCCACTGTCTGCGAGGTGCAGTGGGTGCACTTCTTACTCCATGATTTGCAAATCAAACCAAACAAGCCTGCCGCCGTATTCTGTGATAGCAAATCAGCTATTGCTATCGCTGAGAATCACGTATTTCATGAACGTACAAAGCATATAGATATAGATTGTCACATTGTTCATGAAAGACTCAGCCAAGGTCTCATCAAGTTATTGTCTGTTTCCTCTTCTATGCAGATTGCAGATGGTCTGACCAAGGCGTTACCCTCTCCAGCATTTCATATCTTCAAGTCTAAACTGGGCATTGAGGACCTCCATGCTCCAGTTTAGGGGGGGGGGGGGGGGGGGGGTATTAGACTCCAAAAATCATGCAACAATTCATTCTTAAGGCTCCAAAAATCATGCAACAATTCATTCCTAAATATTAGACTCCATAAATCATGCATCCATTCATTCCTAAATTCTAGCAGTTTAGAATAAAGGATTTCAGTTACAATACCTTTATCTTCATTATATATATGTTGAGGTTACTGGTATTTTTTGTAACAAGAAGAACATAACAATAAAACTATTATTTTCCTTCTTTTCTCCTTCTTGATTCTGCATGTGAAGCTTCCGTTAATTCCAACAAGTTATATATCGTATGATTTTCCTAGAACCTTGAGCGCTTGCACTCAGCAGAGAAGCCCTGCGGGAAGCGCTTGGCGTCGGCGCAGTAATTGTAGACCATATGCTTGCTTTGTACCCATCGGACTCTATTCCTTCCCTTCCCATCAAGCCCCTGCGTTTGCCATTCTTGATTATTGCTGTTTGACGCTGCTGCTTTGAAATTGCAGGAAGAAACTCCGTTTGTTACCACACAAGCGTTGGCATTGAAGTTTCTGTAGTAGGCAGTGAAGGGAGCGCGTGACCAATCTGTCTTCACCAATCCTCCCTGGGTCGCCCAGTCATCCGCATTCCACAAACTGCAGTATACTCTCATGGGCTGGCTCTATGGGAATGGAATCCCAATGCTCTCGTGATTGTTGAATACTCTAATAGGATTGTTATCCACCATGAAACTGCAGCAGCAATATATAATATAATATGAGAAATTTTGTTTAAATTGAAGGAACTGCAAAGTATATACAATGGGAATGAGCGATGGCCGATGAGGTAGATATATAGCGCAGCTTACATGATTCTTTGAGGATTCCAGAGAATGGTGTAAGTGTGAAATGCGGCAGTTGGGTCGAACCAGAGATGGAACTGTTGCTCCTTGTTACCTTTCCCCTGAGAATATACATTGGTATGGACTGTGTAAGGCTGCCCAGACACATTCCCCAAGAATTCAAAGTCAATTTCATCGTGCCCTTCTCCCAGAGATGAGAGCTGTACGTTCCAATACCACAAACCAATTCAAAACAATCTTAATTAGCTTAGCTTGTTAACATATAAATACTCAGTACGTACGTGTAGCAAGAAGGTGCAGTGAAGAACAATATATATATAGGAAAAGTGTAGTTACATAGAAGGTGGTGACAGTGCCAGCAGAGTTGCCGGGAACAAGCTTGAGTTGCATGTCAAATCTGCCAAAAAGGTACTCATTTTTGGACTGGAAGCCGGAACCGGATTCTTTATCGAGTTTGAGGGCGATCATCTTGCCGCCATCAAGCACTTGTCCACGTCCATTGCCAAAATACATTTGGGCATCTTGGTAGAAGTTTCCGGCCAGGGCCACTGCCACAAGGCTGGCCGCTATCATCATACAAAGCTGGAGCTTATTAGATGATGACATCTTGCTATCGGGGAACTGAGCTAGCTAGCTAGCTAGTATGCAGAACAGAGTTGAGAAGAAGAACAAGACTTGGGATGTATTGTATTGTGATGAATTGATGATATTTTGGGTACTGGCAAGAGAGGTTTGTATATATAGGAGGATTTGGAGTTGATAATGATTAGCCAGGCATTTTGTGAAGGAAGGATCAGAGTGGGAGAAAGGGGACAAAGAAGTAAGCTGGATTATATTATTAATGCTTAGTTTATTGGGAATGATTAGAGACGGTGAGCAAAAGGAATAATTGTGTACGCGTAAGATGGTGCTGAGGCTGGGGTCATGTTTGGTTATTGAATATTGTAAATCAAATAATTAGCTAGCTGGTTACCATCTCCGCCTCCCACTGCACGCGTTAAGTTGGAGTGGAATTCATAAACACTGCATGCAGCTATTCTTACCACAATCACAAACCACCTGTATGCAATGTGAAAGTATTATGTTGGATTTAGATTGCATGCTTAGCTTAAAGCAACTAATCTTAAGATAGTAAGGGAAGGATATTTCAAGTTTACCCGAGGACACCATTGTAAAAATCGTGCATGCCTAGCTAGGCGCTACTTAACCCTGCGAGTTTTCATGTAGGCATTACCTAGTAGGCCGAGTTAACTTGTTTAAATTGACCGAGTCAACTGAGTTAACTCGGTTGACTCTGCTTAGTTAATTTTTTTTAAAAAAATTAGTTAGTTTTTTTTTTTGCAATTCTAGATTATCAAAGCATATTTTTTTGCAATTACAACGGCTTTCATAGTTAGAGGAATTTTCAACTTTGGTTGAATTGTTGTAATATTTACATGTAGTAGGAAGAGGAAGAGAAGCAAACTTGGTGAAGTCTTGTGAAAAACGTGACAAACTTAGTGCAAGGCCATCTCCAAGGGGCACGCCATTGCGTCAAAATGGTGAAAAAAATGGCGTGCCCCATGCTCCAATGGAGCGCTATCCCACCATAAATTTGGCGCAACATGAACAGTGCAGCGTCAAATACTTCCAATTTTGCCCCTTCCTTTTATTCTTAATTCCTTTTATGTCCTGATTTAATTTTAATATATTTATATATTTTGTTAAATTATTGAATATAAATTTTATATTATTAAAAATAAAGTATATCATTTGAAAGATCTCATCAAGACTATTAAAACAAGGCTAATATTGAACCTAAATTAATTAAAAATGAAATTACATAAATATAATTTTAACATATATTTAAAGTTATAATACTTATAATATTTGCATTATAATTATATTTTATATTAAAATATATAAATTTATAATACAAAGTCTTAATTTATGAGAAAATAAATTATTTTAATGAAAGAAAAGAATTTGGTGTAAATGGGTTGGAGATGAAAAAATTTTAGTGTAGGAATATGCTGGGAATATTCCTTTTGATGTAAAATTTAGTGTTTTGAGTTGGAGATGGTATTGATCACAGCATAAGTTTACTTCACTTGTAATTTGTAATTTGTGAACGCAAATTAAAGTTATTAGTAGATTTCGCTCATAGTAGTACTGTCAAAGTGGGCCGAAATTCGAAGGCTGGCCCGCACATGCCCTACGGTGGGGTAGGTTAGGGTTATGAAAAATAGGCTCGCGAAAATACGGGCCTAATGGGACTAGCCGGAATTGATCCGCAACCTGCGGGTCAAGCCCATAAAAAAAGACATATATTACATAGCAAGGCAGTACGCTGACCCTCATAGAGCAAAATAAATGAATTGCACCATCACTGAACCACTATGTTGGCCATAGGCAAGTAAATGTCTAGAAGGAAAAGTTAAAAGGAGGAACTAAGGGTGACTTCTTTTTCCCGAGAGAACTATCCCTCCGAATAAAGAAGGGGGAGAAAGCTGTTAATGCTTGTGTGTTGATGGGGAACAAGCTAACAAATGTCTTTGATTATAAGTAATATACATAAAAAGTATATGTATATTACTTATGTTAGTAATAGAAAATGGCATTTTAATTACCATTGTACTAAGTCAGCCATATTTCTAAATTACCCAGGCCCCGGAGTGTATATATATACGGAGTAATAAATAGTCATTGAACTAAATCAGGCATTTTCGCAGCGAGCAGAACATAGTTTGAAATTGGAATTATATACGTGGATATATATAGAACTAAGAATAAAAGAATTTCATTAATTTTATAATTTAGTACATAATACTCTCTACGTGGATCTATCACAAATTAAAGAATTACAATCCCAATAAAAGATTAGAATCTTGAGTTCTTGCACTCTGCAGGAAAAGTGCCTCCAGGAAACCTCTTGGAATCAGCACAGTAATTGTAAACCATATGTTTGCTTTGCACCCATCTCAACCTATTCCTCCCACTCGCATCAATATCCTGCGTCTGCCATGTCTGTTTGTTGTTCACCGGATCGGCGGAGGACTTGGAATCACAAGACGAGCGGCCGCCGGAGACGACACAGGCATCAATATTGAAGTTCCGGTAGTAAACCGTGAAGGGTGCCTTAGTCCAATCAGTCTTGACAAGGCCCCCCTGCGTAGCCCAGTCGTCTGCGTTCCATAAACTGCAGTAGACTCTCATGGGCTGATTCTTGGGGAAAGGGACCCCCATGGTCTCGTGGTTGCGGTAAACTCTGATGGGAATGTTGTCGACGAGAAAGATGATGCGCTGAGAGTTCCAAAGAATGGAGTAAGTGTGGAAGGCGGTGGTGGGGTCGAACCAGAGATGGAATTGCTGCTCCCTGCCTCCTTTCCCTTGAGAGTATACATTGGTATGAATGGTGTAAGGCTGGCCGGAGACATTGCCCAGGAATTCAAAATCAATTTCGTCATGTCTGTCTCCTAGAGAAGATAACTGCATTTTATCAATGATCGATTAGTCTGGTGTAAGCTGAGAAATCTAACGTAACTCAAAAGAAATAAATAAACTTACGTAGAAAGTGGTGACGGTTCCAGCAGAGTTGTCTGGGATAAGCTTGACCTGCATATCAAATCTGCCGAAAAGGTATTCATTGGTGGATTGGAAGCCGGAACCCGATTCTCTGTCGAGAGTAAGAGCTGCCATGTTGCCGCCCTGCATCACTTTACCCCGTCCATTGCCAAAATACATCTGAACATCTTGGTTGAAATTTGCAGCCATGGCTGCTGCCACCAGACAAGCCGCCACAAGAAGCTGCAGCAATAAGGAAACTTGAGAAGCCATTTGATATATTTCTGAAGAACAGAGATGGTGTGAGCTGATAGATGCCCAACAAGAGGCTTTATATATACACGCAATGGAATTGGGTGGTGAGGAGCTGAGAAGGAAGGATCTGAGACAAAGGAAGTGAGCTGGAGACGGCTGGCCTGGCTACTTTATTTAGTCGTTGGAAATCAAAAAGCGATTCAAGTGTCGGAGTAAAAATAATAATAATATAATAAATAAAGTTGGTGTACGTGTGGGGTCTGCGAGTAATATAGTACAGTAAATATTGGCCCGGTTCAGTAATGCATGGTCACCCCATTTCCCACTGGATACAGCTTTGGTAGATCTGTATAAAGTTACAAAGTTGGGTGCAACTTGCAGCTTCCATGAATCATGATACCTTTGTTCCCATAAAGATTGAATCCCCAATTCCAAGGGCTCACGCCCCGACCCGATAAATTATTTAAGAAGATGTAAATTAAGTTCCGACTCGATATAATATTTGCTAGGATGTAAATCATAACAACTCACAAGAAACCTTCTTAAGACTCAATCTTGTATCATTGTTCACAAACTTCACCCATGTGACTAACTGAGCTGCACATGCGGATAATTATGATTCCCGATGCCTTGCATTAATGCATTTGCTAGTACCACTATCACTTTTGAAGACAAAATTTCCCTACAAATATTATTGCATGTGATATTGCTACAATTAAGTTCTCAACTTTTTAATTTAATCTCAAGATTTTAATCGTATTCGGTTACTGTGTATCTATTCTAAATTTCTAACTTCTATCTATTTACTCCTATCTACAACCTACTTATTCTATCCACCACCCCTTAATAATATTATTGTGATATTTTTGAATGTACAACGAAAGTTTTGAATTTTAAATAATTCCATATTTTATAAATTAGACATGCATCCTAGACATCACTTTTTTCTCTTTACAATTTCTTTAACTTTTTTTTTTTATATATATAAACAAATAGTTCTAATCGAAATTTGTTAAATGATACTCATATTGATATAATTTTTTAAAAAATAAATTAAAAATAAATTTATATATATGTACGTAAAGTCATTATTTTAGTGTAATTTTTATGTACATTAAACATCATTTTTTTATGAACATATAGAATATGCATTATGAAATTGTCAATACATTATTTTACTTTTAAATTATACAAGGAGGCATGGTGCAGATCGACATGATAGCCTTCATGTGTGTGTGTATGACATTTCACTTTTAGTCTTTTTTTTTCATAACATCATAAGTTGGTCTTAGTATTATTGTAGCATGACTTTTTTTTGTCCTCCGTCAACAAATTTGTTTAAGTGACTTTAAATACGAGAGCATTTTGATCTTTTTATACAAAATGGATTAACTTGCTATATTTTATTTTTATTCAATTCCTTTGAAAAAATTACTAATTCACGACTAGAGTTCAATGTATTTTTCAATTGCAATTCACACCTTTGCAGCAAAGCCTCCACAACATGAGACTCCCAATAGTGGAATGATATATATAAATCTAGAATTAAAAAAAGAAATAAACATTTAGAATTTAATAGACTTAAATGTCTACATACTTAACGCTATTTAAATACGTTTGTTGATCGAGAACCGAAAACAATAATCATGTCACAATAATCTTAGAATTTATAAAAAAAAAAATGTTCTAAAAAAATGACTAAAAGTGAAATGTCACTATAAATTCAAAACAAAAAATGGAATTAACTCTATTTTTAAAATAGTACTGACAACTCAATTATGGATTGGCCACTAAGCTAGGTAGTCCGTCCCGTGTTTCAATGGTTCCCTATTAGAGTATTAGAGTGTCATGATATAATAATAATATTCAAACACGGGATTTTGTCCCCAACCTACCCACAATTGCAAGCTTCCTCTAACCTTCTAATCCTAATCCACATGTTTTTTCTAATAAAAAACAAGTAGAAAATATATGATATGCTTTTGGTATATTCATGCAAAGAGTAGAGTTTTGATTTGCAAAAAATCATACAAATAAACAACAATTCATTACTAATTTTCAACAAATATATATATCTGAATTCTAACAGACTGGAGAATCTTGAATATGCATGCTTGAGAGATGAAGAATCTGTCAGATCCACATTGTTGAGGTAGCATGGACAGTTTAAGGCGTGTTTGGAGATTTAGAATTAGGAGCCATTGAAACCCTAACATCCAAACAATTAGCTGGTTCTGATCTGTCTTGTAAATAGGAAAAAGTAGATCACACTGCTTCAGGCGGTGCTACCTGGGGTGTAACCTACCCAATTGTCTAAAACTTGAAGTGTAACTAATTGAAACATGTGTTGTATCAATCTCAATTAAAAGTCTAAACTGATAGTTTATGAATTTTTTAGAAGTGAATTGATTCTGATACTAAAAATTAAAATATATATATTCTTGACTTTAATTAAAAATTAAAACTGATAATTAAATTACAAATTGAAACATATGGTCCACTCGTACGTAAATCTATATCCAGTGCCATGACCACGCATGACTCAACTGGACCTATATATATTGTACTATAATATAATCATCCAAATCCCACAGACCCTACTCGGCCACCAACCTAAAATGCTATTGGATTTGCAGCAACCACCCATTTACAGCTCACTCCCTTTGTCTCCGATCCTTCCTTCACATATCGATGTTATAAGCTTATCCCGAAGAAGATATTAGCTAGCCAAAATCAAATTTATAATGTTCTGATATAAAAATAATTTTCTACCCACTTGACTATTGTTTGGGCAAATTCTTTTATTCTTGTTACTATTACTATATATACATATATATATATAATTCCAATTTCAAACTATATTCTAGTATGATAGAATAGTAAAGTTTGATATTAATATGCTACTGGTTAAAGTAATTACTTTTAAATATTAATTAATCAAACAAAATAAGAGTTCGCATCAAACGTCATATCATGTTGACGTGTGATAATAATGATGTAAATGTCACGTCAGCAAATCTAGCAATGTTAATAATTATTTTGAATTAAATTGTTTTTAAAATATATGAAATAAATGGTACATGGATTAAATTGCAAAAAATTCATAAAATGGGGGACCTTTAAATATTTTGACTGTGTAAACAAAGATCTAACATTCAGTAATTTAAGATTCAATTACATTAAGTTATGTGAATTATTTGTCATTACTTACAAATAATATTCCTCAAATGACCAAGAATTCATATAATAGTGAAATCAATAATAATAATAATAATAATAATAATAATAATAATAATAATAATAATAATAATAATAATAATAAAATGCATTCGGATTAATATAGATTCCCTAATTAGGTGATAACTTATATCAGTCAAAATGCTTTGATCATTAATCTAGTAGATCTAACAGTTGAAAATAAATAAAATTTTATACTTAATTTCCCATTTATTAGCAGATCAATGGTTTTGGATTGTCCACAAATTCTCACTTGGAAAATGGTTCTCATATAATTAGGACTCTCTCTTTCTATACTGAACTAAAATTAAAATTCAGAGACCAAACGAGATAACAATATATTTTATTGCTAAAAGTAATGATAAATAAATATCTAACACTCTAGCTAAAAGTAATGATAAATAAATGTCTAACACTCTAACACTAAGAAATTAACACATGTATTCTCTTCATAGAGTTTGTTCTCCTATAATCACTCAAAAATTAATCTTATGACAATTTATTTTGAAAGTAAAAAGTATTCCCTTCATACAACCCTCATTCATAATAACCTTCACAAGAACTCCTAGGTCTAACTTTACATCCACATATTTCAACCACTTTCCTTTACAAGTGTCAAACTTTTTTGAAATTGTCAACATTAGTAGTGGTGAAGCTATATATAGTATAGTCAATTTTTCTATGAAGCTAACAGCTCACTTTTTAATTATAATATTTGTAAATGTGTAATATACATACAGCTCTAGAAAAATGCATGAAATACTTCGTAGAATGAAAAGATATATTCTTATGAAAAAGTGATAGTTCCAAAAATAGTAAAGTCATCACAACTTTTAGTTTTTTTTTTTTTTTTTTCATAATTACACAAATTGATATTTTTACCCAATGTGATATGATTCTTGATAATATTACAAATGAGAAAATTTCAATTTTGGTCATATGAGTATATGAGCTTTTTTAATTTCAGCACCTAACTTTTAAAAGTGTCAATTTAGTACCTTGAGTATGTAATTTTTGTTAATTTTGGTCACTCCGGTCAAATTGCCGGCCAAATTTCGCCAGAAAATTTTAATAGTTAAAATAATGAGGATATTTTAGTCATTTCACATCTCTTTTCTTCTTCTCCGGCGAGTCTACCATGTTTCAGTTGTTTTCAGCGAGTTCTCCCGGCTTCGAAAGTACATGCGAAGCAGCTCAAGAGCACTTTTAAAACCAAAACAAATCTAAATGCCACTTTTGCGAGTTTAGCGAAATCAATGACCAAAGCATTTTGACTGGTAGCCTCCTTAGACTAGGCATCACCGACGTTGGGAACCATCGTGGAGGACAAAATCGAAGGTTCTGCAGCCATTCAAGCATTTTCTTCTGGCCAATTGAGGTGTTAGCGAACATGGAGAGCGCGAGTCCGCCGACCAGGCAACCGAGGAAGTACGAGGTGGGAGGCAGGTCGGTGATAGCCCTAGCGCACTCCAAGGACCACTAGGAAACGACGGAGGTGTTCGGCGGACTCCGTGCGGTCGGCAAATGCTATTCCATTCGTCGGAGAAGAAAGAGATGTCATCCTTATCGTGGTCGTCGTCCTCACCGCGGTCTTGTTAATCCCTCTCTTTGGTCGGAAATGTTGGCCTCCAATGCTAGAGCTCTGCTCTGCTTGAGATTGAGAAGAAAGAAAGAAAAGATTTTGCAAGCACCTCGTCGGAGAAGAAATGAAAAAGTATAAAATGACTAAAATACCCTCATTATTTTACCTATTAAAATTTTTCAGCGAAATTTGGCCGACAATTTAGTCGGAGTGACCAAAATTGACAAAAATTACATACTTAATGTACTAAATTGACAATTTTAAAAGTTAGGTGCTGAAATTAACAAAGCCCCTATAGTCATATGACCAAAATTGAAATTTTCCCACTATATAGTGCTTGGCATTCTAGTCCTTGTTTTCTTGGCCATGTCCAAATTGAGTTCTAAATTGACATCTACTAATAATGGAATCCAACTAATCTATATATGTTGGCCTCATCACTTGAATGATCCCTTCCAATGAGAATATTGATCAACTCGTCAATGCTAAGGGCAACTCTCTTAATTAATAATGTAGTGTACCCTAAGAAAAGATTTCAATTCTCTTGAAAATTCCATCATTATGCAACCTTCAAATATATACACCGCAAGATGCAAGTGAACTTGAGCTTAAATGCCTAATACAACCAATTATTAAACAAGTTTTTCCCACTAGAACATATATAGTTCCAAAATGGAGTTGTTGGCTTGCTAACCACAATATTACAAGTTCAACTTCTAATGACAACAATCTATTGGCCTTCTTAGTTTGGTCCTTTGCCGGCTAACACTACAAGGCATATTTTATCATGTGTGCACTTGAGTTTTCTTAATTACTTAAAAAATGGATATATTTATGTATAATACCAAGAATAAAAGAATTTTATTAATGTAGTACATAATGCTTTACAGTGGATAACAAATTAAAGAACTAGAATATAATCCGAGTAAATTCCCATTTGCTTATAGATCATATCAGAATCTTGAGTTCTTGCAATCTGCAGGAAAACCTCCAGGAAACCTCTGGGAATCCGCACAGTAATTGTAAACCATATATTTGCTCTGCACCCATCTCAACCTATTCCTCCCACTCGCATCAATATCCTGCGTCTGCCATGCCTGATTGTTGTTGGCCGGATCAGCGGAGGACGTGGAATCGCAAGACGAGCGGCCGCCGGAGACGACGCAGGCATCAATATTGAAGTTCTGGTAGTAAACTGTGAAAGGTGCCTTAGTCCAATCAGTCTTGACACGGCCCCCCTGCGTAGCCCAGTCGTCTGCGTTCCATAAGCTGCAGTAGACCCTCATGGGCTGATCCTTGGGGAACGGGACCCCGATACTCTCATGGTTGCGGTAAACTCTGATGGGAATGTTGTCGACGAGGAAGATGATGCGCTGAGAGTTCCAAAGAATGGAGTAAGTGTGGAAGGCGGCGGTGGGGTCGAACCAGAGATGGAATTGCTGCTCCCTGCCGCCTTTCCCTTGAGAGTATACATTGGTGTGGATGGTGTAAGGCTGGCCGGAGACGTTGCCGAGGAATTCGAAATCAATTTCGTCATGCCTGTCTCCTAGAGAAGATAACTGCATTTTATCAATGATCAATTAGTCTGGCGTAAGCTGAGAAATTAAATCTAATGTAATTCAAAAGAAATAAATAAAACTTACGTAGAAAGTGGTGACGGTTCCGGCAGAGTTGTCGGGGATAAGCTTGACCTTCATATCGAATCTGCCGAAAAGGTATTCTTTGGTGGATTGGAAGCCGGAACCCGATTCCCTGTCGAGAGTGAGAGCTGCCATGTTGCCGCCTTGCATCACTTTACCCCGTCCATTGCCAAAATACATTTGGACGTCTTGGTTGAAATTTGCGGCCATGGCGGATGCCACCAGACAAGCCGCCATAAGAAGCTGAAGGAATAAGGGAACTTGATGAGATGCCATTTTTGATATGATATATTTGCTGGGAGGTGATCGAGATGAGGAAGAATGGTATATGAAATGTGAAGAGATGAAGGATAATGGTGTGAGTTGATAGATGGCCAATAAGAGGCCGGCTTTATATACATATACACACAGTGGGATTTGGTGGTGAGGATGCTGAGAAGGAAGGATCCGAGACGAAGGGAGTGAGCTGGAGATGGCTGGCGGCTTCTTTTTTACTTATTACGAATCAATTAAAGCAATTCAAGTGTTGGAGTAATAACAATAACAATGATTAACGTTTTTTTTTTTTTTTTTTTGAAGGTGATTAACGTTATTTTTATTTATTTATTTTTTGAAATGAATGATTAACGTTATTTCTTTTCATTGTAATGATCCTCTTTGGTAAAATAGTTGACATATAGGTTAATTTTAACTTATTTGATCACTATTAGTTGTTTGACTTGGTTTAGAAATTAATATAAGTGTTTAATTAATTAGCTTTTTGTACTCTAAAATGCTAAAATTCAAAAAGCTACTCAAAACAATTTTTTCAATTAAGTTTTTGAAAAAAAAAATTATACCAAATAACTATCACTAATTTACCAAACACATTTCTATATACAATCAGCTAATGTTATCAACTAGTTATACCCTCTAATTAATCTAATCAACTAACAGTTAACAATCATTTACCAAACATGGCCAATATGTTTTTTTTATTGGTTGTCATGATCAACTAACACAACATTAATAAAAGGAATTTTTTGAATGCTACTGACACATTAATAAAAGGAATTTACTTATTAATTAAAAAAAAAAATATTTTGTCCTATTTTTAAAGTTTTCTCTTCTAGGTGAGTTATAATTATTGGATGAACCCTTGACCAAAAATATTGGATGAGGTAAATAGAGCAAAACTTCCAAGATAATTCTTACATCAGTGATCTAAGTTCCAAAATGCTGCCTTGCATTATTTGCTAGTACCACAATCGTTTCTAAATGGCAAATTAATTTCTTTGCATATTATTAAATTAAGGATGTTAGGTAGTAAAAAAAAACACACACAGACAAAACAAAAATTAACTCCCTGAACCTATGAAACAAAAAACAAAATAAAAAAAATATTAAAATTTAAATACATTTTTTTTTGTTTTGCAATAAAAATTTTAATTTATTAAAATATTTAAATTGAAAACAGAAAACTAAATCTAAACAATCTCTTTTTGTTGCAAGTTGCAAGTTGCAACTATGATTCAAAAAGGTAATTTTATCATTTATTTTTCTATTTATTTCTTTCAATTTTATATAGCTTCCGAAAGCATATCTTAGTGTCGGTGATAACAATTTTCAATTATGTGTTGGCCATTTAGCCAGATACTCCGGACAATACAAATGTAACAATTTAATAAAATCGATCTCTTCCCGTAATCTACTTATTTGACGTGAGTGATCGTGCATTTTCATCCTTTAATAGTGGTCAGGAGTTTGAACCATTCTCGTATGTAAAACCAATCTGACTAACACTTTACCTTTGAATTGAATTTAAAGGTGCATTCTACAGTTAGGGTCTTCTCTGGCACCTCGTGTTCTAACCAAAAAAAAAAAAATCTCTTCCCCTATATAAAGTATGATGATATATATTCAAACACGGATTTTGTCCCCAACCCACCCACAATGCCACAAATGCAAGCATCCTCTAAGCTTCTAACCCTAATAATGAAATATATATATATTTTTAATAAAAATATAAAATATAGAGATATACTTGCAACGAATTTTGCAGACAAACAATAATACATCAATAATTTTTAACAAATTTCTGAATTGTAATGCTCTTGAGAATCTCGACGTGTGTTTGAAAGATGAAGAATTTGTGAGAGAATTAACATGGCCAGATTGTTGAGGCAGCATGGACAGTTTGAGGCGTGTTTGGAGGTTTAGATTTAAGATCAATTCAAAACCTAGCCCCCAAACAATTAGCTGGCTTTGCCTGGTAAATAGGAGAAACTGTATCATTCGTATTTCGCTTTAGCCGGTGCTACGGGATATGTATTTTGTCTTATTGATTTTTATTTTATTTTATTAATCTCTTTTTTTTTTTTTTTTTTTTAATAAAAACTGTTTTGTATCCCGTAATAAAGTATCATAAAATAAAATTTATCGGGATATTATGTATTTATGTGTAATCAAAGTGATTAATTTCTTAAAGATTCAATTAGGTACTGCATATTTTGAAATTTGAAATGTATTGGGATTAATTGCAATTTAATTTGTTTTTAATAAACAATGAAAGGCAACACGGATAACGATTGATCACAGATCCAACTTTTTACAGATGTAGCAAAGCTGTATCCAGTGCGATGACTCAACCCCACACGCGCCATGTACTAACAATATAATAAAAAACTCAAACCCCACACGCATACCAACTTTATTTATTTATTTATTATTATTATTCAAATAGAGTAAATTGTCAAATGGTCATTTGATTATAGCGAAAGTACTAAATTGAACCTCGATTATTATTTTTGACCAATTAAGTTATCAAGTATTGATTTTTTGTTCAATTTGATTCTGTGTCAATTGAAGTGTTAAGTGGCCGTCTCTTTTGAGGGTAAAATGAAACTTTTAGTCTTCTTCCTAATCAACTCTCTCATCCTCTCCAATCTTCGCCCTCTCCGCACTCGCCCTTTGACCAAAAATTCCGACGTCGGCGATGATCCTCCGCGACTTTCCAAAGCAGTCTCCCACTCCCAGCGACGTGATCGCCATCATCATATTGGCGATCGGCAGCTACCTGCGAAGTCACGGTCCAATTTTCGTCGGGGGAGAATTTTCCAACGTCTGAGTCCTTACATGGACGAATGGAGGTCATAAATGGGGTCATGGATACGTCTAGATCAACCTCCGTTGCTCACCTTCGTTGTTGCTCGCTTCTCTGGCATCAGCCATAGGTGAAAATAGGAAGTAATAATATGGTGTGTGTGTGATAGGGGCTCGGAGTCTCCAATTCTAGAACACCACCTTTGGTGAAAATAGGAAGTAATAATATGGAAATTTTGGTTCAGCCTATGGTAGAGGAAGGACTGCCTTCATCGTTGCCTGCTCCGGTCGCTGATGGGGCCATGGGGGTGGTGGTTGTGTGGCCAGACTGAAATGACTCTAATACCCTCGAAGTGGAGACCGGAAGGACTATTATGTCCTCACAGTAGACAGTCACTTAACGCCCCAACTGACGAAAGATCAAATTAGACAAAAAATTAATTCTTGATGATTTAATTGGTCAAAAATAATAGTTAAGGATCAATTTGATACTTTCGCTATAGTCAATGGACAATTTTAGTAATTTACTCTATTCAAACACTTGAACCGCCTTTTGATTTGCAGCTCACTCCCTTTGTCTCGGATCCTTCCTTCTCAGCTCCTCACCGCCCAATTCCACTGCGTGTATATATAAAGCCTCTTGTTGGGCATCTATCAGCTCACACCATCATATCTTTACATCTCTGCTCTTCACAAATATATCAAATGGCATCTCAACTTTCCTTATTCCTGCAGCTTCTTGTGGCGGCTTGTCTGGTGGCAGCCGCCATGGCTGCGAATTTCAACCAAGACGTTCAGATGTATTTTGGCAATGGACGGGGTAAAGTGATGCAGGGCGGCAACATGGCAGCTCTTACTCTCGACAGAGAATCCGGTTCCGGCTTCCAATCCACCAACGAATACCTTTTCGGCAGATTCGATATGCAGGTCAAGCTTATCCCCGACAACTCTGCTGGAACCGTCACCACTTTCTACGTAAGTTTATTTATTTCTTTTGAGTTACGTTAGATTTCTCAGCTTACACCAGACTAATCGATCATTGATAAAATGCAGTTGTCTTCTCTGGGAGACAGACATGACGAAATTGATTTCGAATTCCTGGGCAACGTCTCCGGCCAGCCTTACACCATTCATACCAATGTATACTCTCAAGGGAAAGGAGGCAGGGAACAGCAATTCCATCTCTGGTTCGACCCCACCACCGCCTTCCACACTTACTCCATTCTTTGGAACTCTCAGCGCATCATCTTTCTCGTCGACAACATTCCCATCAGAGTTTACCGCAACCACGAAACCATGGGGGTCCCTTTCCCCAAGAATCAGTCCATGAGAGTCTACTGCAGCTTATGGAACGCAGACGACTGGGCTACGCAGGGGGGCCTTGTCAAGACTGATTGGACTAAGGCACCCTTCACGGTTTACTACCGGAACTTCAATATTGATGCCTGCGTCGTCTCCGGCGGCCGCTCGTCTTGCGATTCCAAGTCCTCCGCCGATCCGGTGAACAACAAACAGACATGGCAGACGCAGGATATTGATGCGAGTGGGAGGAATAGGTTGAGATGGGTGCAAAGCAAACATATGGTTTACAATTACTGTGCGGATTCCAAGAGGTTCCCTGGAGGTACTTTTCCTGCAGAGTGCAAGAACTCAAGATTCTGATCTTATAAGCTTATTCTATACTAGCAGCTGAGGATTATTTGGGATTCTGATTCTTTAATTTGTTATCCACTATTCCACTGTAATGGTATTGTATTTACTAAATTAATGAAATTCTTTTATTCTTGTTACTATGCATATATAATTCCAATTTCGAACTATTTTGTTCACAAATGGGATGAGTCCTTGTCCACGAAGCTAGCTTACACACTATGTAATTTTGTTTATAATTGAGTCTACACACATATATTAGATGAATTTAAATTTATATCTAATAATTTACTCAAATTTATGCTTTAAACATAAGAAAATAACCTGGCCTATTCTACACTATGCTGTTTACGGTTTACCTCAGTTACTCAAAATAACCATTGCTGCTAAATGCTAATAAATCCATTTCTATTCACTTTTACCGTTTACTAGCTTCTTTCCCCAAGAAAACAATTCGCCCCACCCGAATAAGCGCCGCTGCCCCGTAAGACCCGGATAAAGAAAAACCCTGTCTCTGTATTTCGGAGAAGAGAATATAGAACTGGGAAGACGATTCAAACGTGGTTTCACAGACATGTGGTGGAAAGAGCTGAAAGCAGCTTTGGGGCAGAGGATTAACGTGGAGGGCATCGCTTCTTCTCTTGAGATTTTCCGCAAAGACAAGCATTTGATTATCCCACATGTCTCTGTGCCGGATATTAGGTACATTGATTGGGGTGAGCTGAAGAGAAGGGGCTTTCAAGGGGTTGTCTTTGATAAGGACAACACAATCACTGCTGCTTACTCTTTGAGCTTATGGCCGCCTCTCGAATCATCACTACAACACTGCAAAGCTCTCTTCGGCAACAACATCGCGGTTTTCAGCAACTCTGCAGGCAATTCCCTAACGCTTTTCTGGGCATTGTTGACTTTTGTTTTTTTTTTTTTTTTGTTCTGATTTCCATTAAACTCATGGTATACACGTTTTGGTTAAATTGTAGGACTATATGAGTATGATCCTGATGGAAAAAGCGCTATGATTCTTGAGCGTGCAATTGGGATTAAAGTAATCAGGCATAGTAAGTTCTTGCTTGCCTTTTAAGCTGTTCAAATTTTATGCTATTACTTACAAATTCAACCATACCATGACTTTCTGGGAACCAACTAGGAGTTTTGAAACTATATAGAGTGACTATTTTGAGTGATCAGAAAACCCGCAGCCACTATCCGAACGCGTGCACGGACTAAACCCCTTTTGTAACCCTAGCTGGCGAAGGACCAAAAGAAGGTAAACCAGCCTAGATTGCCTGACCGGCTCAAACCAAGAAGGTCAATAGACCACTCTTGCTGGGTGTCGAGCTTGTAACCTTATGGTTACCAAGTCAACAGTCCGACTAACTTAATGATGTTACATGAAATTTAAGTTTGCTTAGTTTGTTTATCTAATATAAATTTTAGAAGTGAAGAAGCCAGCTGGAACAGCTGAAGAAATTGAACAGCACTTTGGTTGTGAATCATCGAAACTTATCATGGTATGAAATAAACCTGTGATTTGGTTGAATTGTATTTCATATTTGCCCTCTCGATGAATACTCTATAACTTGATTAAGCCTGTGGTAGGTTGGTGATCGACCCTTGACAGACATAGCATATGGAAACAGAAATGGTTTCCTAACTATTTTGACAGAGCCATTAAGTCTTGCTGAGGAGTCGTTTATAGTACAACAGGTTGTTCTATACTTCTATCTTATTTTCCTTTTGCTCCCATATGATTCCTTTCTTTCATACAGAATATCTTGCTTATGTTGAGCCAAAATGCTTGCAGGTTAGGGTAATAGAAAGGGCTCTTATGAAACATTGGTCCACAAAGGGGCTGAAGCCAATAACACACGAACTTCTTCCCGATTACATGCTGTGTGTTAAAGACAAACCGCTATAGAAAGAGGAAATGCGTTTATGGTAAAATGATAAAAATTTTATACCAATAGCTATAGTTTCCATTCTTTGCTGCTAGTACTGGAAGAACATGAAAATATTTATGATTCATCCTCAAATTTTGAATGCTGTCTTTGCAGGCTAAGGTGTGTTTAACTGTTTATAAAGTTCTTTTAGTTATACGTGGGATGTTGATGCATGGAAACTAAAAAAAGTAAATGCATTGTATTAAATGTGATGTAATAAATGCTATTATACACAGAAATCAGATTAACAATCTCACTGTAACATGCAAAATTCATGATTTATATCAATTTGGGGGAAATTTTGATATTCATTCCTTGGGAAGGGAATGGAAGGGGATCCATGGTAATAGGCTCATCGGGATTTATCAATGACCAGTTGTATTGGGTTACCACATAATGCACAAAAATTAGTATATTTAGCTTTGCCAGTTGGTAGCCTGCACACAACCTTGGCCCTCCCCCGAATGGTATATATGCATAAGGTTGAACTTGAATTGGCTCCTCAAACCTACTTGGATCAAACTTCAGAGGGTCTTGAAAGTGGTCTGCATCGTAATGTGTTCCATATGTAGTCCATAGTACCTGCATATTTAAAGCATGAAAACCATTAGATTGTAATGTATTTAAAAATGACGGATTTTCACCCTTTAAATTAGACTACCAATCAGTATTTCACCTTCCAGCCTCTAGGAATGGTAAACCCGTCATATTCAATATCTGCAGTTGCCTTTCTGAAAGAGCCAAATATTGGAGGGAACAGCCTCATGCTTTCGCGAGCAACCTGCCAGGTATATTTCATATTCTTTGTGTCTTCCAATGATAAGAGTTCATCGCCTGGTGTTTTATTGCTTAAGATAGTTTCATGTTCTGACATATATAAAATTGGTAGAGGTGAGATTAATGAAAAAAATAGAATTCATTATTGGGTATGCTAAGAGCCTAAGAGAGTGGAATACCTTGAAGGAGAAGAGAATAGGAGTTTGGATGTTGAGCCAACATTCTGAATGTCATGGCTATAGCAAAAGTAGTAGTATCGTGTGCTGCAAAAACTAGCAGAACTATGTTGTCAACCACCTCCTCCTCGCTTATCTCCCCGTTTATCATAGCTGTTACTAATCTGGAAAGTAGTGTCTCTTCTTCTTCTCCATGAAGGTCAATCTCTTCCTTCTTTTTTCTCACGACATTGATCAGCATCTTCTCTATCTCTAATCTTGCTCCTTTGGCCCTTGAGAACTTGGAGCCAGGAAACGCGAGTGGGGGAGCAAACACGCCTTCCAGGACTCTCTCGAATGTGTCTAAAAGCCCTGGTTTCACATCAATGCCTAACAAGCATTCGAACACGATGTTGAAAGTCAACATTTTTGTGAGGTGAAAGAGGCTGATTATCTGTTTCCCCTTCCAGTTATTGTGTAGATGCATCTGAACAGTTTTGCATATTTTAGGCACCATTGTCTCCAGGCCTAAACACCCCAGGCTAGAGGCTACAATCCCCCGAATGAACCGGTGAGCTTCGCCCTGTTTCTCCATGATGGAATTCTTGCCCATCAGCTGAACCGATGACGAAGGCCATGAGCTCACAACCAGCTTGAATTCATTGGACAGAAAAAACTTGTTTGCCTCTGCTCCATTCACCAACACCGTCGGTGACCCCATGATCCTTGTTTTGAACGTTTTGCCGTACTTGTGTATCCTCGGTTGAACAAACTCCTCAAACAACTTGTTCTTCTTCTGGGCCTTGTAGAAATCTATTGTTTCGCCTATCCAGGGAAGCCCCATTTCTCCAGGTGGTAGCTTCTTCTTGCTTCTGCTCTCATTCCCCTTGAAACGTGTCAGGAATGCAGCAACAGCCATTGGAATCAAGGCCAAGAAAAAGAAAGAAAGAGTGAAGTTCATTTCAAGATCCATTGGGAAGAAAATACCCAGATTTTGCTTGCTGGTTTGCAGTTAGCTCTAGAGAAGGAATACTAATTTATATATGTGTTGTGCATGGTGGGGATTAATGAACTATAAAATTATATTATATAACAAGAAACTAACTTGCATAGAAGTCAAAGTTGTAGGTGTTGTTCAGAAAATGTCAACTTGTTATTCAGTGAGCTGCTTTCTGCTCATTCATTACATCACATCACATTACAGATAGATTTTTCTGCATAAATTTGGGGAAGAATTATTATAAAATATAAAACGTCGGCCCGGGCGGCAGTTGGATCATATGCAATGCATGTGCGCTCAACCCTCCCAAAAACTACCTTAAATTAGCTTCTTTCTCTCAATGCAAGAAACAACCAAATAACGTGCGACATCATCATCATCAGAGATTCATTTGAAAAACAAAACCATCGACTAATTGAATCTGTTTTTGATGATATATTAGTCAATTACTGATTGAAATTAATATATTTAATCTCCAGAAGATCCCTACATATCTGCGTTTTCCATGGCTTCTAGGTGAAGTCAAATGCAAGATGCATCTGGATGGATTCTGGAATGTGATACCAACAATAATAATGGCAGTAATGGAGGAATTATATATGCAGGCAAGAAGGAAGTAGGAATTGTGTCCAACTCACGCTATACAAATTCCGGACGGGAGAAGAAGGCATTTTTTTTTTTTTTTGGTCTCCAGCCGAAGATGAAAAAGTTTCTTTGTCACCCATCTGGAGAGTATTGGAGTTTCGAGTTTTTCTTTTTCTATTTTTACTTTATTTTATTTTATTTAAAATTATTAAAATTTAATTTTTTAAACATAACCACCACGTTTGTCATTAACTTGGAGGATATGTAATTTTTATTCAGTTGCACGAATTTGACTTGTTAAAGGAGTTAATTGTATTTTCTTAGTTGAATGATCTAATTGTAGTTGTATATGTAGTTCGATGGCTATTTCGTCCCTTATCCTAAAAAAACTAGAATTTTTATGAGGACATCTCCAATAATGGAGATTTAACAAGGAGAAATGAGAGAAATAGGTTCAAGGGTTAGGGAGAAAGGATTATCCTCCGGAGAAAAAGATCTCTCCGGAGGAAAGGGTTTTGTTTTTATTTTTGTTTGTCCTTTTTTAATGGCTAATTCTTTTTTTTTTTTTTACTTGTTATTCTATTTTTTTTTTTAATTTTTATATTTCAATTTATTTTAAAATTTTAAATTTTATTAATTGTATTGTCAGTATATATGATATTTAAAATTTTGTATTCGATTCTGAATGTTAATTTGTTCTGTAAACGATTTTGAAAGTGACTATTAATTTATAAAATTATATTTTGATTAGTTTATAAAATATAATTCAAAAATTATTTTATTTTATTTAAATTTGTTTTTATTTAAAATCTAAAATTTAATTATAAAGTTTGAAATTATTAGTTATTCTGTATATAAAAGTGAATAAAATAATAGATGATATGTATGAGTGCGGAGAGTAGGGCCCACAAAAAAAACAGAGAAAATGGGAGAAGGGTTGGAGATTGGAGAAAAAATAAGAGAGAAGATTATAAGGTGATGTGAAGCGGTAGTTGTATAATGAACTCGGATTCAAAATACACAATTTACATATTAAATGTTTACAAGTCTACAGAATAATTTGTCACGATGTGAAGAAGTTAGTTGGAGAACAATTGTAGATGAGAAAAGTATAATCTTGTTTAATTATTCATAGTTGGATGGAAATTATAAATGAAAAGAAGAGTATATAGTAAAAAATAATAATAATAATAATAATAATAATAATAATAATAATAATAATAAATAAATAAATAAATAAATAAATAAATAAATAAGGACACAGGTACTTGTTCACTACTGTTGGCATTGATTGGGCCACCTGCAATCATAGTGCTACGCTCTCTCTGATCTTTACTGCGGAAGCTAGCTGTCCCGCAACTCGCCATTGAAGAGTGAAGACCCTTTAAGCTTCCTCACAGTATGTACAGTTTCTTGGACCATACAGAAGTCATGTACGGAGTATATATAAATGTAGTAAGCTAAGTAGGGCTCGACAGCTTAGCTTCACTGGTTTCAACATTCGGAGATAGATAGATGGAGATTAAATTAAAAACGAGTTAATACCCAAAATCGTCCTCGAGTATAGTGGTTTTTCTTAATTTCGTTCTAAACGACTTTGGTGACCTAATATCGTCCCAGACTTTTGTGTTTCGCTCAATTTAGTCCTCCATTTGTTATTCCGTCAAATTGGTGTTAAATAAAGGGACAATTCAATAATGTCAATATTGATCTCTCCTTACTTTCAACTTGTGAAGTGCGAAATTCCTCTTTCTTGTACGAATTACACCCAGAATTACTCCCGGACCTGCAAATCAAATTTTATATTCGCAGTTTTAGGAGTAATTCTGGGAGTAATTCGTAAAAAAAAGGGATTTCGCAGTTCACATGTCTATGAGTAAAGAGATGCCAATATTAAAATTACTGAATTGTCTATTTATTTAACACCAAATGGACAGAATAACAAATGAGGGACTAAATTGAGCAAAAACACAAACGTCTGGGACTAAATTGAGCGAAACACAAAAGTCAGGGACGATATTAGGTCACCAAAGTCGTTTAGGACGAAATTGAGAAAAACCACTATACTCAAGGACGATTTTGGGTATTAACTCAATTAAAAACCTCATTTTTTTGACTCTGTTAGAGCATCCACACTTGTGCATATTATGGGGAGATTTCAGAATTAATTCTTCTCAATGAGGATAATAACCAATGTAGAGTGGAGTTATTTGTAGAAATAATCATCCTGCAAATATGGGGAGAATGGCAGAAAAAGAAGAAAAAGAAAGAAAAGAAAAAGTGGCTGCTGTCGCACACAGCAGCGCGCCTGACAGTTCGTTTTTTTTTTTTTTTTTTTTTCGTTTGTTTTTTTTTTTTCCTCCTTTCCCCACATTCTCTCTCCTAATTACTCTTACATTATCCCCATATTCTTTCCAACTAATGTGGATGCTCTTACAAACTTACAATGTAGTATCTGTTTATAGTTACTTTCTTAACCTACTGTCAATACCGCTCTTACTGGAGCTCATAAGCATAAAGAGTCAATACTGTCCTCATTAGAGTTCAGACCCATGACCACCCAATTAGGAGAGTCACTTCATGTCACTAGACCCCAATGTCATTGACAAAAACCTCCGATTTAAAGGACCAATTATCTGCCCACTTGCCTGTGTTGTATTTTCTAGTTATATTACAGCGTTAATTCCATCAGAAATCTCTTGTTTTTTGTAGCAATTCTAAATTTAGTCACAGACTATCGCTTTTACTATTTAACATATCAAACTATTATTTTTTAACACTTTTAGTCTTTCTCATAACTTTTACTATTTTTAGTAAGGGCATTTTTGTCTTTTTATATTTTTCTTTTGTTATTTTTCTGATTTCAACCGATTTAATTGGTTTAGGACTTTACTAATGCCGGTTGAAAAATATAGTTACTAAAAATCAGAAGTTACCTAAAGTTTTAAACCAATTAAACCGGTTAAAACAAAAAAAAAATTAACAAAAGAAAATATGAAAAGACAAAAATACTATTACTAAAAATAAGAAAAGTCGTGAAAAGGACTAAAAGTGTCCAAAAAATAATAGTCTAAGATGTTAAATAACAAAAAAATGATAATCGGAAACTAAATTTGAAATTATCTTATGAAATTAACTCTATATTACATGTATTCTCAATTTTTACTCCCTTATTTTTACCTCATGTTGCGATAAATAAAAAAGACTCATCATATAATCCTAAAAAAGTATCTACATCCAAAATTTATATGAAAAAATAAAAGTTGGGAGTAAGAAATGAAGCCCACCAAGTATTTTCTCATATTTTCCACTGCAAATTTATTACTATACGCGTCCCCCGCCATTATATTCTTTGTGTACAATCCTCACCCACCTGTCTGCCATGCCCATTAACTTGGATTCAACACTCTCTGCTCATTTCATCAACCCTTCTGATCTGTACGACGTTGCCTTTCCCACTGTCTCTCGATCCCCACATTGCCTGCATACTACTTTTAACCAACAAAAAAAAAAAGGTTGAATAAAGAATCACATGAAAATAGATCAGAGATGCTTGAGCTAGGGGGAATCAGACCTGTGGATATGGGAAGGCCAGGGAAGCTGGCATGCATGCAGACGACTTGTACGTGTATCTGAGAATTAGTTTAGGGATAATTATAGTTGAGGACAGATTAATCTTTGAATGGTACGTAGGTCGTCCATGGCCGAGGAAGTCTGGCAGTTTGTAGTGTAGGAAAAAGGTCATTGAATACTCAAATATACATATGTTATGTACAACCTCAACGAAGTTGGTCAGAATGTTCACTTAGTAACTACAAATTCAATTCGACTTTTAGCAGAAGTGCTCTATTAGTCTTCTTGGTTTAATTTGAGCCGATCAATTTAAACAGAATTCCAAGCTAAACAGTATACTATACACTGAAAAATTGAGGTAGCTAGCTGGGCAAAGACTTGCAATGTGAGATTTTAATGGTACCTTAAATGCTCCTGCAAAACTTGCAACTAACCTTGTACTGTTTTCACCTATTTATATTTACTGCTGTCTCCAACATTTTCTCCTTATATACCTTCACTCTTAGCTATTCCCTCAAACCTTACTTTCGATCCATCTTCTTCTCCTTTTGGTTACTATAATTATATATATATGAGACGTTGGTCGTCGTCTCTCAACATAAAGGTGGCGACGATGGAGTTTTCTTTCTTCACGTTGGCAACTATGGTTGCTTTACTTTCCCAGACTTTGGTCGTCCCTGTCATGTCCGTCTCTTCTTCTCCATTTCATTACCAAAAAACCCATAATTCTCACCACCCCAATACCAGAACTCCGACCACACCTTCCATTAACTGTGATAGTCCCCCACACGGCGGTGGTGGCGGTGGTGGAAGCCATCATAGTGACCCTACTCCCGTATCTCCTCCTTCAGGGCACCATGGTGGTGGTGGCGGCGGCGGTGGTGGCTATTATCACTCACCTCCAACCTATACTCCCACTCCGACTACCCCAACCACTCCCATTGCAACACCGCCGGTTGATCCAGGAACTCCGACCACCCCCATCCTCCCTACCCCAAACTACTCTCCTCCGTCTGGAACGCCGCCGTATTACACGCCTCCATCTGGAACGCCGCCATATTACACGCCTCCATCTGGAACGCCACCACACTACACACCTCCATCTGGAACGCCTCCATTTCCATTTGATCCAAACACGCCTCCTGCGTCTGGAACACCTCCTACTGGATTTGATCCAAACTCACCACCCTTCCCCTGCACGTAAGTACAACCAACTTTAAGAAATTATGGAATTTCCGACCACCTGAAAGTGATTTTATATCAAGTTGAAAGCAAAAAGTAGTCAGAAATAGCAACAAAGATTTTTCCAGATACCAAAAGTGATCAAAATAAGACTTTTGACTTGATTTAAGATATTTTTAGGTGGTCGGAAATTCCGACAGTGAATTTTCTCTTTTCTCTTTTCTCTTGCCCACAAAAACAAATTAAAACGCTTCAATAATTCCCAGTTTTAACAGTTAGTTATGTGTGGAAATTGCAGTTTCTGGAAGGCGCACCCAACGCTAATCTGGGGAATGGTGGGGTGGAACGGAAACACCATTCGCAGCATGTTTGGTATGAATAACAATAACATTCCAGGTTTCAGTGGAAGCGTGAACCTTCTGGAAGCGCTGTCAAACACCCGTACGGACGGGTACGGGGCGCTTTACAGGGAAGGCACGGCGGCTATGCTGAACTCCATGATGACCAAGAACTTCCCTTACACAACCCAGCAAGTGAGGGACAGTTTTGGGCGTGCGGCGCTTAGTTCAAATCAGGCCGCCGCTGCTCAGGCCAGGCTCTTCAAGTTGGCTAACGAGGGTCACCGGCCTAAAGCCTAGATCTTGATTTTATTATTATTATTATTATTATTATTATTATTATTATTATTATTATTATGTTTTAATGATTTGATTTTCATGTTACTGTCAGTATCAAGCATGCTACTTTAAGGTTTCCCCATTGATTTTCTGTTAGGGTGGTATTATATTATTATTATTGTTGTTGTTGTGTGCAGTAGTGATGTCTTTACGAGGATGAATATGGAGTGCGTGTTTTTAATTGGCTTTCAATGTCACAACATTAATTAATTTAAGATATTATTATCTATCTAAAGAATATTTGTCTGATCTGCTTATGTCCATATATTCTGTTCCCCCTAAACCCACAAATTAACACTAGTCCTAAATTAATCCCCGTTAGTAACTATAATTCTATTGTTCTACTTATCATTATGAATGTAAATAAGTAAAATCTTTTATAGCTGTATGCATTTCAATTGCCAGCATAAACACACCATTCTCAAAGTTTCAACGTTACAATTTTCTGCCATTGATGTGTGCAAGTATATATAAATGAACTTCATTAACCAGAAAACATTATTAATCCAATTATTATAGCAAGGTTTTACTGAATAACTAACGTAAAACTAAATTTCAAGTTTAATGAATGTTTGGCGGGCGGATGTTTATGAAGGATCAAGTCCAACATCCTATCAAGTATATATAAGAAAATAAAGTTGCCTTTTTACTACTAATTAGCTATAACTTTTGATTAGTTAGCTAACAGGTGTTAAGAGTTTGATCTTAACAGCGAATAAAGTACATTAGATAATAAATCAGTGTCAAGTTAATATATTTCTAGAATTCTTTGATGAGGATTAAAAGAGATACGTTTTTAATAATCAACAAACTAAGTCACCAAATTAACTTGTTAACCAACCTAATTGATTTGAACTCGAAGATCAAAACTGAAAATATACAATAATCGAAAGACTATAAATGGAATTATGTTCCTATAACCTTATATAAACAAACGCAATTAAATGTTACCCTACACTATGAGTCCTCCGATCCATATCAAATTAAATATAATGAATACTTTACCGTGCAGATCAGATATGGTATAGATATCAATAAATATATTGAATCTTGGGGTTTCTGAATTACCCTAATGAATTGAATGCAAACCAACCAAACGAGAACACCTCACTATGAGATTAATTATGTGTACGTACCATAGAACACCCATATATGTCTTTTTCATCAATTAATGTAGGATATGATATGCTTACGAATTAAGATTTGACGAAGACGCATGTACCATTATATATATTGTAAGAGGTTAGGAAATGGCCATTGTGATTTACAAACAAATCTAGAGTATGGGACAATTAAGTGTCTTGTCGCATGAGTAAGTTTTTTTTTTTTTTTTTTTTTTTTTTTTGGTTATTCAAAGGTATCCTTCGAGGATACAGCCAAAGACTAATCCTCCGTCTTAACAGTCAGCATACTAAGTGGTAGGGGACTGACCAAATAGTTTGCTCCATTCACATGGGTAGAGATCAAACCCTCCACCACATGCTTAAGGGACGAGATGCTAAGAATCTTGATGTCTTATGGCGGAGATAAATCACGAGATGTGTCTTAATAAATTCGAATCATGTTATAAGTTTACGGGAATTGAACACTCATCACCGTACGACTGTCATTAGTACATCTAAAGTTTATCTTGTTATTATCTTTACACTACTGAACTATGATCGAGTCACGACAAACTACGACAACGTAGGGCACACAGTGTGGTCTTGAAAATTAGGGATGAATATGTATCATTGCTTGGGGAAGCAGCAACCGGGTAGGTTTTAGCCAGGGTACCTCTTTGGACTAACTTCAATTCTCTCAACTACTACTCCTGCAGCGCATTTGATATGGTTTTCTCAAGTCTTCATTCTGTATAGTACATGCAATGCATGTCCTATGCGTCACGCATGTGCTGTTTAGGTGGCTCAAGCTTTCACTCTTAAACTCTATTGAATGCGGTTCGTTAATATAGCACATTAGCACCTATAGCTGATGATAAGCTAAATTTTAGTTTATTTGCATTGTCTCACTATATGTATTCTTTGTAACATTAAAAAATTAAATTACTGGTTCATATTACCCATTTTTGTCACTTAATAGATTTTTATAGGTGTCAACAATTCTTTGGATCACTCCAAGTGACCAAGAACCTTATTCCCTTCATTACTTTGTCGCTTACATTCTTTGTTTACACTATTGTATTCAACGTGCAATTTATGTTAAAATTGTAAGTGAATAAACATCAACATTACCTATTTTGTTCTATTCTTTTTTGTCACAAATGTTCATTTTATAATAATGAAGATAATTAAATAGAGGGACTAGACTATGATCTACTATACATTGCAAGATGAACTACCGAAATACATCTTTAATTTTTGTATAGTACATGTTTAGTTTAGTAGGTTCGTTATATTTTGATATATGTTAATTTTAAAGTACTATATAAAACTGAACTAATAGTATACTAAAAACAACATATTAGCGGTTCACTATCGTACAATGTGAATCATGGTTAATGCTATAATTTACCAATTGCGAGAGAGTTGACGACGACCAGTATATCCAATAGTTATGCTGTGTAACTGAATGCACCATGTGCATGGTGCATACGATGCAAAACGACATCGTTTTGACTAAAAACGTGCGTCCCACTTAATAAAAAAAAAATCAGGTTCGATTCTCGGCATTAGCATTATTGTGGAATATAGTTATGAATTTCTGGATATATGTTATGAATTTGTGGATATATAGTTATGAATTTATGGATATTTAGTTCATTCCTTGTGATATTTAGTTCATTCATTGTGGATATTTAGTTCATTCATTGTAGATATTTACTTCATTCATTCACTATGGATTTAGTTCATTCATTGTGGATTTTTACTTCATTCATTCACTGTGGATATATAGTTATGAATTTATGTAAAAATGCTATTGTTGAAAATCGAACCTGATTTCTTCTTTAAGTGGGACGCGCGTTTTTAAACCAAAATGATGTCGTTTTGCATCGAATATACCATGCGCATGGTGCATTCGGTTGCACAGCATAATTTGCGCAGTATATCGCCTCAGGTAATTGGGTTTATCTGTTGGGTCGAAAACGAATTGGGCTCCATCAGTTCGACCTAGTACACTTTAGCCTTTTTATATTTGGGTTATTGCTAAATGGGTCAGTAGCAGTCCATGGGGAGCAAAAAGGAAGTTTAAATGGCCCAGTAACCATTGATGCTTTCATTACTGAGCGGGGTCAGGGATCACTTAGAGCATCCATTATAGAATCTTTTTCAAGTTATTTCAGAATGAACTCTTCCTAAACAAGGAGCAAAGTTGATGTGGGATGGAATCTATATATATATAAAAGTAAAATTCTCCTAACAAATTTTCCCCCCAAAACTTTGTAGTAAAACTTATTTGGTAAGTAAATGTCAAATGGAAATAAATAAAATCTATTAATTGGTAATATTATATATGGTATTATATTCTATAATATAATTGATAATATTATTGTTCATGCATAATAAAAATATTATTGTTCAAGTATAAAATAAAATTAAAATAATAATAATAATAATAACAACAACGACAACAATAATAATAATAATGATAATAATAATATAATAATAATAATAATATAATAACAGTTTTATTATCAAATTTATTAGGAAAAATTATATTAGTAATATATTATTAATTAAATAATTAGGGAAAACCATTAGAACAATGCTGTAATAATATATTAGGAATGTACGTAGTTATACAATATATAGTAATTAAGGTTATTATTGTTAATTAAGCTAATTAGTGTGTAGTATTTTATATTTATATATAAAAGCAATACTCATACACAATGTATATGTATATGGAATGCGTGTAGTAGTGGGTAGAAAGTAAATAATTGGAAGCTTTTACCTTTCTTAATATCTCTTACCATTTTATAATTTCAATACTAAGCTCTTTTGATCTCATCTATTATGTATAAATACACCTTATATGACCATAGACAACTCATCAATTTCACAATCTCAACTAAGGTTAATTATTTCATTGACTTTTGCTAATTATCCTGTGATCTTCCACAATTGAGGTTGATACGTGATTTGCACAGGTGAAGTTTTCATTATCTTAGTTTCTTTTTTCTTTCTTTCTTATTGGGTTTTGTTTTGTTTTTTTTTTGTTTTTTGTTTTTTTTTTTTGTTTTTTGTTTTTTGTTTTTTGTTTTTTGTTTTTTGTTTTTTTGTTTTTTGTTTTTGTATTTTTCGATTTTTAAACAAGAAAAGTGGTTCGTAAGAAAAAATGTTGATATATTCTTTTTTTTTTGTTTATTTTTGTAGAGAAGATACAGATCTATAAAGATTGATGGGGAAGCAATAGAGTTCCTTGCTCATCAAGTGGATAAAGTGGGGAGGGACGGATTCTGTGTATATGTAAACAGATGCAAAGGGAAGCATGATAAGAATACACTAAAAATGAAAATAGTATTCAAAGCATTTTTTTAGTTGTCAATTTGTCAAAGCGTTGGGCTTTCTTTTGATTCAATCTCTCCGTCTTTAAAGTGTGCATTTTATGTAATAAAAGAGTAATTTATCTCTCCCTTCAAGACGTTTTGGCATTTTCGGCGGAATCAACACTGCGGAAGCAATCTTGACTTTGTCGGTGCGGAAGTTGTTTTGTTTTGTTTTGTTTTTTTTTTTTTTTTTTTTTTTTTTTTTTTTTTTTTTTTGCAAATCTGAAGTTGGCATTGCTTTGGATTAAATTAGTAGTTATTTTTATGGCGGTGGTGGAAGAAGATTTCTGCAGCAGTTCATGTTAGAGGGCGGTGGTTGAAGTTTGTGAGGATGACAACTCAATGAGAGTGTGGATCGTAAATATATGTGTATTAATTTTTTTTTTGTATGTTTATATTCACTACCATTTTTAAGATTCATATTTATATTTACATTCATATTAATATTGTATTTTCTTTCCTGCATAATTTTAGGCTTAGTTT